TTTCTCGAAACTAGAACTTGGACCAAGTTCTAGCATCGTGGGCACAGGCCTTAAGTCACAAGACAGTTATTGTGCGTTTCTTTAAGGCCCGGTCTACAATGAGTTGTTTAGTTCTTGGTCAGACGTCAGAGCTATATGTCGGTCCTCTTTCTTCCACCCAGAAAGGAAAAGGATCAGCATGTAGTTGGGACTCCTGACTAACGACCAACAACTCACTGTAGGGTCTAAAAGCCAATGTCCACGATGCTAGAACTTGGTCCAAGTTCTATTGGGCTTAAGACAAAGATTTAAAACATAAAACACTGTCTTAAGAGTACGAGACAGCCATTCTGCTCGGGTCCTAGGACAAGTATATTTTTCTCATTCTAGCTTACTGCACTAGTTCACCAGTGCAACAGTAGAAAACAAGCCTAAGTCAAGACGCAAATCTGTGATAATGACTGTGCGTCATCGTGCGATTGATGAACCGGTTGATGCACGAGACAGACTAGGTTCATCAGTCGTGTCCGCGTTAGCAACTAAAGACAGGAGTGACGAGAGGGATTTACTTGATACGATACGTATAATACGCCTGTTTGTGTCGAAAGTAGCGAATTGTACTTTGTTGTAGATGCGAGCCAACGTTTGCGTCGTGCATTCTGAGCAGTGGATTTATTGAAATATGTTAAATATTAGTTTTGTCGAATAAATGATACTCTGAGTATTGTACACTGCTGCTCCTTAAAAAGTTCAAACTCCGCACTAATTTGTCGAAGCACTCGAAGGCCCAGTTTCATCAAACGTCGCTCAACTTTGATCTTGATTTAATTCACGTTTATCTCGCTCTAAAGTAACTGGTGGAAAGAGACAAAGAACGAATTAAGCCAGGCTTGAAGTTGAACAACGTTGGTGAAACTGGATCTAAGTTACATTCGTGTGTCGTAGGCGAGCAGATCGAGAAAGCGTGGGCTAGATGAGAGTGATTTGTCAGCGAAACGGCTCAAGAGCTGCGGCATCATGTACTGTTGGGGCACTACCATCCATGGCGAGCTGGGCCTGGGCGGTATCGAGGATGAAAACATTTTCATGCCGCGGGAGGTGGATTTTGCGGAGGCAAAGGACATTGTGCAGAGTAAGGATCAATTTCACCAACGTCGCTTAGGTTTAGCTCAATCTATTCTTTATGGCCCGGTTCCACCAACGTTGTTTAACTTTAAGCTTAGCTTCATTCGTTCTTTGTCTCTTTCCAACTGTTACTTTTTGAAGAGACAAACGTGAATTAAACTAAAATTAAAGTTAGGCGACGTTTGGTGAAACCGGATCTTATCTCTATGCAATTGATACCTTAGAAAAGAGACAAGCAATGAATTCAACGGGGATTAAAGTTAAGTGACGTTGGTGAAAGCGGGCTCTCGAAAGATCTGACGAAACTCACTCTGGTTTTCACCAAAGTCATTTAACTTTAATCTCAGTTCTGACCACAGTGTAACTAGTAGGTCCACTCTCTGCCGGCCCCTTTGATCTTCGCGGTCCCGATCGCATGGTATTCCGCCATACACCCGGGCAGGATCCAGTGACGTATGTGTATATACGTACTCATCAAAGCCACACTACCGCACATACGACTTTTCTCTCATTGGTCTGCCCAGAGTAATGTCCGATGCGCAGAAGGGATCGACGGGAAATGAAACAAATGACGAAGTGGACCTACTAGTTATACCATAGTTCTGACTGTTCCCTTATGTCCATTTCTACCAATGCAGATTAATTTTAATCTCGGTTTAGCTTACTTTTCATCTTTTACCAGTTCTAAGAATTTGAAAAAGATGGAAAGTAAAAAGTTAATCCGCACTGGTAGAAGTGGACATTAGAAAAGAGACAAAGAATAAAGTGAACTGAAATCGAAGTTAAACGACATTGGTGAAAACTGAGATTAGCAAAAAAAAAATTGCTCTCGCGAGAACGTCCCGACGAAAATAAAAAATTTCAGTTGCCTGTGGAGAAAATTATACCGTAGCCGTTACGAAAGATGGCAAGGTGTATTCCTGCGGTAACAACGACTACGGGCAGCTCGGCCACGAGAAGGCGAGGAAAAGGTTGCGTGAGTACAACGGAAACTCTCAATTGATATATGTAATGTAGATCTCCCGAACTACAAGGTTCTGCAACTTTATTAAAATATATCGATTCTTTCTAGAACTGATACCCGGCTTGGATGCATTTGTATTTAGAAAAATAACATGCGGTAACTGCCATACTCTTGCTGTAAACGAGTGGGGACAACTTTTCAGTTGGGGTTGTAATTTGAATGGTCAGCTAGGTAACGTATAAGCTCTTATCTTTTTATCTCGATGTATTGACGATCAATTTCATAAACGTACTTAACCAGAGGTTAGTCAACTCTCTATCTTTTTGTTATTGTTGCCATTGTTATCTAAAAAGAAAGAGAATCGATCAAGTTAGCAATTAATCGACGTTTTTGAAACTACCCTGAGAGTTTTGCTTTTTGGATGCCATTAATATAATCATGTGTTTACGCAGGGTTAAATAGCGTCGATTGTACGGAGCGTGTTCCACGTATGGTAAAAGTATTGGGTACAAATGTAATAGTGCAGATTGCGTGCGGCGTCGAGCATTCGATCGCTCTGACCAACGACGGGGAACTGTACGCGTGGGGTAGCAACAGAGAGGGACAACTAGGTTTGGGCTCTCACACGACCACCGAAATAAAACCGAAGAGGATCCCCACATTGGCCGCTGTACCAATTGCGTTTGTCGCATGCGGCGGTTATCACACTGTAGTTATCACAAAATCAGGCAAGTCTATCACGCTGCTACCATGTGGACATCGTTCAACTTTGGGCCGTGTCTGAACCTTTGCTATTTTCTCGTAGGAGCAGTGTTCTCGTGGGGGAGAAACACATTCGGACAACTAGGAATAAATGATACGCAGCAGCGTAGTTTACCGTGTCAATTACGCACTCTGAGAAACTCTAGAGTATGCTACGCGACTTGTGGCGAGGAATTCTCAGTGTTTCTGACAACGGTAAATCTCGTGCGTTAACGCGTCGGTCAGTATTTTGGTGGTTGAACAGTTCTAACTTCCTGCGCTTGCTTCAGGACGGTGGAGTGTTTACATGCGGTGCCGGAATGTACGGTCAATTAGGTCATGGGAATAACACGAATGAAATTTTACCGAGGCAAGTTATGGAACTAATGGGTAGTACGGTAACCCAAGTAAGTTGTGATAATTTACAGAAATTATGTATGTGGCTGTTATGTCACGTTAATCTTAATTTATACGTTTATTAGTCTATTGTACTGAAATATATATAAGCAATATTAGTAATTGTTTAAAGGAATAAAAGCCAAGAGTCGTGACGGGATGTTGGAGTTTAAATAATTTTATTATAAATTTCTTGCGGAAAAATATTACCCCTCATCCAGGGTTTGAGCCATCCTTTTACTAGGGTGTCTCACCAATTCGACCACCGAGGCATGTGGTAATATTTATCGCAATAAACAGTTTGATATTATTTCCCAAATGCCACCTTTTGTTTTTCGCAATAAATTTATAATGAAATTATAAAATTATTTAGCCACTAACATCGTGTTACGGCTCTCTTATTCCTTCGAATTTGAGTTCAATACATCAAAGCCTAATACATTTATTAATAATTGTATAGGTGTCTTGCGGCAAAAGACATACGCTGGCTTTAGTGCCGTCTCGAGGAAGAGTTTACGCGTGGGGCTTGGGTGGTGCTGGGCAATTGGGTAATCGTGGTTCGCAGAGTGCTACTACACCGCAAGTTGTTTTAGGACCGTGGTCCTCGCCGAGTGGATCGTCGATGACGCTCGACCTGCACTACAGCCCTGAGATTGATTGTGTTGTTAGGCACATCTTTAGCGGGGGCGATCACTGTTTTGCCACCATCAGTCCAAAAAAAGTGTGTGTTTTTCTATTTCGTTGCACTCTTATCTGCATTTTATTAATTTACCCTCGAAATTTGTAAGTTTAGATTAGTCGGATTTTCTTTTCTCTTCGGAGAAGAAAACGAGACATTTAATTTTTCGCATTGTTTCTGTGATAAAGTGCAATTATTTCTACTTTAATATATGTCTACAGGACAATATAGAACCAGATGACTGTAGAATATTAGGGCCGACTTCCCAAATTCTTACAGTGGCGGAGGAAAAGTTAGTTGACTGTCAGAGGATCGCGCCAGGTTCACCAATTAATCACGAATTGATGACGTAAGTGAAAAAATATTGCACACTAAGGAAAACTTGTACAATTTAATACAAAGATATTCGGATAGATATTTAGTTTGGTCCACGGTAGATCTGATCTAACGAATCAATTCGAGCCGAAGCCTCGGTTATCGCGCAGCTACCAAGTAATTTGCCATGCTTTTCAGGTATCTAGAAACTGTGTTCAAAAGTCAAGCATGTATAAATTCGTCCTTTTTGCTTCATAACAACGCGCATTACGGATGTTCGAGCAAACATCACGGGGTCGATATTGACTACGCTATCAGATTATTTGGAATTATCTCGGAACTAGACAATACTACGATTCAAGAACTGGTACGTGTACGAACGTAATACGTGAAATCTCGATAGATATTTTCAGCGACGACGTCACGCTTTTGTTGCAGATTTTCATGTGTATAACGGACAGTCTGATACCGTCTTTCGTCGACTCTCCTCCCGACGTTGAATCTTTAAGGGTGTACTTAACGTTACCGCTGTACCATCGCTTTGCAAATCTGTCCAACTACAGCCTCCTGCAGACACCATTTTGCAAGGCAGTCCTGAGACTAAAGGCCGAGGCTTACAAAGTCGTGAGCATGTGGTGGTCCTCAGCCCCGCCGTACTACTTCGAGAGACTCGTGAGAATATACAAGTCTGTGGTGCTGCACTTTGTGAAACAGTCAACGGCGAACAAAGTAAATTTGCGCGCGGGAATATTCGATGGACAGTTTGAAATTGAATTGTGAGATTTTCACGAATTTCTTGGTTGCGCTATAGTTGCCTAACAATCAAAATTGATTGTATAACTAGTTCTTACTCCCACCGTAAAAGAATAAATCCGTACGAACGATATTTTTACAAATTCACAAGATATTTTATGAAAATCTCATAACTTTTCTGAAAAAGAGGTAAAAATTCCTCTTGTATGATAATGCGAAATATACTTTGCAGAACATTACGTGGTCCGAAAGCCTACAATGTGCTCTAGAATTGTTAGGATTATTGTATAAATTAAATGTCACAGCTGGTATACGAGTACCGTATGACACCTTCCACTTGCCAGAATTATCGGAATATATAGACATTAGCCGTGACTACCTCAAATGGATGACAGAAGAAGATCGGACTTATGTAAGTGATTCTAGATTTTCTAGTGGTGCTTATCGCTACACATGTAGCATTATAATCCTTATAATTTTTCAGTACCGTAAAATATATTTCTGCAGTTATCCTTTTCTATTTGATGCCGAGGCAAAAACTACGTTGCTTGAAACCGATCAAGCTGTGCAGGTATAAAGAAGAATCCGATATTTAGAAATAATCATACGCATTGTTTAATAAACTGTATCCATGCACAGATGCAAACCGCAATAAACGAAGTGGCGTCGCGGGCCGTAAGAGATGTACTGCGCGGTTCAACTTTCCTAAACATCGAGCAGTACAGTCAATTTGTAATATTATATGTGTCACGGAACAGCATAGTCAAGGACACCTTATTTCAGTTAAACAAGTACGATTCTGTCGATCTGAAGAGACCACTTAGAGTGAGTATCGAGCTTCAAAGCTTTAACGTTTTAAGTCCAGGAAATCCTGAATCTTTTACTGTGTACATAATTTTATAGCGCGTGTTCACATACTTTCAGGTTAAATTCCGCGATGAGGAGGCTGAAGACGTGGGTGGCGTGAGAAAAGAGTTCTTCATGCTTCTCTTCGCGGAGATTCTTGATTTTAAATATGGCATGTTCAAAGAATACGAGGAGACAAGGACGATCTGGTTCAACTCGGACTCGTTGGAGGAAGTAGATATGTATTACCTAATCGGCATTCTCTGTGGTCTGGCCATTTACAATTTCGTAATTATCAACTTACCATTTCCGCTGGTCTTGTACAAGAAACTTTTGGGAGAATCAGTCGGGCTAAGTGACATCAAGGATTTGTCACCGACAATAGCTAGGTACTCTACTCATTTCAGAATCTACAATGTTGTTAATCATATATTAAATGAAATAGTAACAAGTGATACACATTACAGAAGTTTAGAAGATGTTCTCGAATACAACGAATCAAACCTCGATGAAATATTTTGCTTGAACTTCATGATAACTAGAGAAGTGTTTGACGAGAGGAAAAACTTCGAATTGATACCAGGCGGTGAGAACGTTCCTGTAACATTGAAAAATAAGTACGTAAGCATGCATATTGTTGGCATACTAGCGATAGTAATGGAAGAAGAAGAAAGGAAAAGCAAGACACGCTTTCGTTTGCAGACAACAGTACGTGGACCTTTATGTTGACTATATATTGAATAAATCAGTGGAAACGCAGTTCCGGGCGTTTGCCAAAGGTTTTCACAATGTCTGCGGCGGAAGGGTGTTAGAGTTGTTCCATAGTCACGAACTTATGTTGCTCTTGATCGGCAATGAGAATTACGACTGGGAAGAATTGGAAAAGAATACCACTTACAAGGACAACTATTCCAAAACCCATCCCACTATCGTGCTCTTCTGGCAGGTCTTTCACGAACTGCCATTGGAGGAGAAGAAGAAATTTCTCCTTTTCTTAACGGGCAGCGACAGAATCCCTCTACAAGGCATGAAAGCTATAAAAGTGAGAGAAAATGCATTTAGGGGCTTAGTCAAAATTTGCAGCATGTGTGACCTTGTGTATCGAGTCTTTTCTTCGGAACGAGGTAACATTTGCCGCCTCTGTTGCAGATGATTATACAACCGATGGCTGACGAACGTTTCCTACCGGCTGCGCACACGTGTTTCAACCTGCTCGATCTACCGCGCTATCGAACTCGCGAAAAATTGAAGTACAAGTTGCTGCAAGCTATCCAACATAATCAAGGATTCTCCCTCGTATGAGACCATGACGCGTCTTTCTCACGATTCTCAATGTACAATAGCTTCATTTGCATACAAATCTATTGTCAATCTAAGGAAAACTCCGAGTATTCGCGAAAAAATAGCAAGTTCCTTACAAGCTACATTAACATTAACACAATTTGTTCGCGCATGAATTTCTCGTTTTGACTTTTCTAGTCTAAAATCATTAAAAGAAAAATGATTATATTGCCATATTGTTACCTAATACAAACTTATATGCCTACACAATAATTGATTATTAAAATGTATAAATGAACGGTAATTTGAACAAAAACACAAATTGAATAGTCTCCTATTGTGATAATAACTCTTCGATGAGCTGTGAAACGAGTTACAAAAAATGAACCGACACTTTTGACTCTTTGAAAATAAAAATCCCGTAATAATTAATTAAATCGATTGCAACATCGATTTTGTAAACGGAACTCGTTGAATGTGTATGCGATGCAAACGTTACATAGAACAATCAATAGATTTATGTGTAGAAACCTCTCGAGACTACAAAGAAATTCCAACATTTCATAGTTTAATTGTAAGGAGAAAAATGCGTGGTGTTAATTTATAAATGTGCTTGAGTCAAGAGAAGACGATACTCAAAGGACGTTATCTAGTTTAGTAAGAACCTTTTTCACGCGACAAAACAGATTCCATAACTTTTTAAGAGACGTATTCAATATTTTTCGCAAACGTGTTGTTAATTTGAGAGTATATTTTCGAGCTTGCCGTATACACCTGAAGATTTAAGATACATAAAAATGAACATATATATATATATATGTATGTATATATCAAGTTAGCATAGCAACATTTCACATGACACTTGCGGTATTACAGAGGAGTGCATTTTATAATAATAATCAAACATTTTAGGTTTTATTGCGACGCACTTTTTTAATGGGAGTGATTTAAACGACTCGAATTACACTTTCGAGCCGCATTTTTTGCAAAACTTGATACGAAAAATATTTTATAAATTGTTAAGTAGATACGTGTCTTGTATTATTTGGAAAGCAAAACGAAAATAAAAATCGTTATCTACCTCTTGCATCCCAAATTTTATTATAAAATTTAAATTCGTGCGTGCATACGTCATGTTTTTAAAGTGCGGTTTGTAATAATGAGTATCCCTAGCGCAAATTGTGATGTTTATTTATTTATTCACATCGATATGTTACATTATTAAAAATTATTCGTTTGTTAGTTAACGGGCAGACCCATTGCCAAATCGCGTTATCATATGTGTCGCCTTTCAGTACTCGACGCATAAAACTCTTCCCCGAATACAGTATTCTGTACTCCGTGTGATTCGATCGTTCATTTTGCGGATTCTTGTCTACATTCGACGTTCGTTATTTTTCCGTATCGTTGTCATCGAAGTAAAAAGTACACTTTATTATTCTTCCGAAATCCCTTACGCCAATCGCTTGTGATCCGCCACTCGTGTGATCCGTATGGCAAGCGTTAGTCTTGTAAACCTGTTTGCAGCGTTAATTCTATCACAACATTGAGTCATTCATCTGCATCAGAAATTCCCAAACTGGGGGAGAGGGTCTTGCGTTAGGCAAGAATTTCTAAATAGGGGGGAAACCGTATTAGCTGTTTCTTAAAAAAAGAAAGTGTGAAAAGATGAGATAATTATTTTAAAGCAATATATAGTAATAAGATAAATTATTACAACACGAATAACAGAAACAGTTTCTACGGTCTGGTTGAATTTTAGTACCTAACAATATTTTTTGCGTAGGTATACATATTGTTTTAACTAGCAATAAGCCAAGTTATATTTCTGTCCCGTTTCATTATAAATGTATCTAACAAGATCTACTTTCTCGGTTTGCAGACTACAAGAGACAGGAGGAACGTGAGGCTCACAAGCGTGGGAATCTCCGAACGATGATGCTCGAATAATAAACCGAATGCTGTAAAATAAACCGGACCTTCGGTAACTGTTATTAGTTTATGCTACCCTGCAAAGATGAAAGGTAACCGTTCAGTCTCTGTGTATACAGGTTCGTTGAAGCTCGAAATCCAGATCGGAAGATCTCTTTAGAAACCTGAGAAACGCATGACGTGAAATGTCTCCGCAGCTGTCTGGACCACGTCCTGGAAGAGCGACAGCACGGCGATTCGTGCTCAGAATTGTGACCTGTCCCGAAAGTGATGAGGGAAGGAAGAAATCCCCGAGACGAAATTCCGTATTTATACGAATTTTCCTTCGTAGCCTCATGATTTTTTTCGAGATTTTATTCACGAAGAAGATCATCCCCCATGCGTTTCTCTGGCTCCTCGCGGATCCCGCGGGATCCGCGAGCAACGTCCCGGGTGTCCCGGTCGATGGGAGACCCAGGCCGATGCCTCGTGCTCGTATGCGTTGCTCGGAACGGAATATTCGCTAATGATGATAGGCCGGGGTGAAGTACTGGGTGCCAGGCGGCGCTCGGTAGCCTGGGTAGGTGCTGTTCAGGGCGTGTTGCGCGAAGAAACCGGTATAGTCCTTGTGCACTCGACGGGGCCTGACAGCCGGGCCCCTGGCGAGCTCAAGCCTGGCCCGGTTTTCCGCCTCGAACTGGGCCTTCACGGTCGCCGGCGGCCACTTGAGATCACCTCGCATGTTGCCTGTTGCCGGAGCCTTCGTCGCTGCGGGTTGGGCCTGATACACGGGTGCTGGTGCCTGCGGATCAGGAATGAGTCGAGGAGACCGGAAAGAGGGAAAAACGGCGACGAGAGAAGTGTCGAACGAACTTGTGCAGCATATCGTTACTCAATTGTAAGATCTGCACCTTTGAGAACACTTGTATTTTACTTATCAAACGTCGAATACCTAATGACTTACATTTTATAACATTTTATGACTCAATTTTTTAATCTATGTAGGAAATTAATAATCGGTACAACTGGCAAATTCTAATTAAAGAAATTGATTGCGAAAAATATTACTTAAGTCAGGGTTTTAAGTTGGTCGACACTTCATTGTTCGTTGACTAATTGCTAGACCTTTTTGCTTCTTATACTTTTTACAAACCATGATTGTTGTGAATTCCAGAGGATCCGAATTTTGAAAAATTGCAAACTGCTTCTTATGTAAAATTTTCACTGCTCTGAGTCTGTTGCTGAGGCTGACTAAGTTAGGTCGGTATGTATAATGTTGAACGTATTTTTGGATAAAATTGATGTTGGGATTAACTAATATCTTGTATTAGCTCGTGAGTTGGCCGTTAACTTGTACAGCGGAGAGCATTTTCTCTTAAAATTTATCCCGAAAATTATGTGCTCGTGGGACAAGGTGGTATTTTGAAGAATTTTATCACAGTTTTTTAAAAATTTACCATACATTTTACTAGTAAAATTTATATTATAAAATGTATATGTATACTAAGTATAATTACTAGTAAAATGTATGGTAAAACTTCACAAAAACTCCCATAACATTCTTTGAAATGCCGTGTTGTCCCACGATTAACAGCATTTTCAGGATCAATTTTAAAAGAAAATTCTCTCCGTTTAGCTTTGCTTATATAACGAGCGCTTTCCTTCTTTGAATTAAAATTTTCAATTACCAGTTTAACGCAAATCGCGACAAATGTATATTGGTCACGTTCCTTTATCTCGCTTTAGAAATATAATTTTATACACAACTTTAGTTTCTGATCGTTTAAGCCATTCTTTGATGTTAATTATTTAATCCTAGGTGAGGTCTGTCGGAATCGCGCGGAACGTTGGCTCAAGCAAAACGAAAAGTTACTTAAAAATCAAAATAACGAAAACAGAAATCAGGATGATATTATTTAACATTTTAATGAAACGTAATTTGACACTTTTGTGACTTTATTTTTACATTTCTATAACTTTTTGTCGTTCTAGTTCTCATAGAAACATAGACTCCTCACACCTTCGACGATCTCTTGAAAGACGAAGACATAAATGCGTCTGTCGTTTCCGAAAGAAGCGGGGCAATAAATATTTTAAGCGTCACGTCAGTTATTTGTGATGTAATTATGTTAATTGGACAAACGATTGCGATCTCCTCGTGTACTATTTGTATGAGACGCGCTTCTGGCATGTTCGCCAGAAGCCGCGAAAATATCTGAAAGAACAGCATTCTTGTTAGTGACGCAGAAAACGTTATTCTTTCGAAGTCGAGGATCGGGATTGGAAGCAGCTAGATGCGGGATATTCTTAGAAGTAAATTTCGGACAAGGGAGATGTAATCGATGCTGCCGGAATGACGAGGACGTATATTTAACGGCTGATATGCTTGCCAAAGGCAAGCTCTTGGTAGAACTCGCGCGAATACGCTCTCGCAAAAATATTGTATCGCGCTCTCGCTGATTTTCCGGCGCTACCTCGCGCTCCTTCGTCGACATCCCCTGGGCAACCCGCGCCCGATACTCAGACCGCGCAGCGTTTTGGAAGCGCGCGTAATAATATTTTACCGCGTTTTATTCTTAGATTTCTTAGCCAGATGAAAGTCGCGCGGGAGGTGTAACATAATATCGAACGTACAAATATGTTTATTAACATGTTCACTGCCGAATCCTCCCGTGATGTAACACCCCCGAGCGGAGCACGAAGTAGTAAAGTCAAAATGACATCACAATGACGGTCAAAAGTCATATTTTGAACGGAACATTTATCGCATTATGATTTTGAAACTTAGACACGCCGTTTGACGTGGTTCGCTGTCTTTTCAGAGGCTCCTCTAAATTTTCCCAATAAGCTCGGACAACCAAAAATAATAAAAAGTAGTTCAGTACGCAGAAAGAATTTTCTCTTAAAATTTACCCTGAAATTCTTGTAATCATGGGACAAGACGGCATTTGAAGAACTTTGTGAGAGTTTTTTAAAATGTTATTTATCATACATTCTACTAGTAAAATGTGTACTAATTGTATAAAAGTGTAGTTACTAGTAAAGTGTATAGTAAAATTTTTAATGGATTATCACTGAAAACAGTTGCATATTCACTGATTCGCAGTTATAAGTATAGTATTGAATAATTCAGTGATAACGTTTTCCGTGTTTTCAGTAATGCACTGATTGATTTTTGAAGAGTAGCAGGGGTCAAGTTCCCCAAGCTCTCGGTACCAAAACTCTCACCTGCGAGATGGGCGGCTCAGGACGGAGGATGATAGTGGAGGGTGGTGCCTCGAACGCCGCAGGGGCGGTCGTATAATAGCCGGATGGAGTCTGCTGCTGCCTCTGCGGTGCCCGGTCGTAAGGATCCTGGGGGTGCTGCTGAAAAGAAACGCGACGATGAGCTATCGGCTCGCTGTTGCGAGCGTGTCACACCCACGCGAAGACATCGTACAACCCAACCAGTTGCTATCCTACAAATCTTCCGCTATCCTCGCGAAACTTGGCTAAAAACATCTCACGACCGTGCATCGTGCGAGAGGCTGTGAACGTGAGAATAAGAGAGAGACAGGAAGAGAGGAGCACATGCGTGACTAATAATATATCTCTCGCATAAACAACGACGGTGACCGATGCTTTTTACATCCAAGATATCGCAAGCGTTCGCCACGTGCCGCCTTTTCTTACCGAGAATCATCGACTCCTCTTCCAAAATTCCGGAGGACGACCGTCAGCCACGTTCATGCGAGCATCACCTACCTGCCAAGGCTGAGTCTGCTGTTGCTGTTGTTGCTGCTGCTGCTGCTGCTGCTGCGGTTGCCGCTGTTGGCTCGGAAACGGGGGATGCTGTTGGGAGATCGGCGAGGACGCCGGGGGTGTCACGGCCGCCCAGCCCCTGGGGTTCGCCTGTTGCTGCTGGAAGTGCGAGGGCTGTCGCAGGAGCGTGCCGCCAGGACTGACCGGCGACGGGGACGACGGAACGGCGCTCTGTGTCGACGACCGCGCGACCGTCGAGGGCGGTTGGGGTGACGGACCTGACGAGGGACTGCTCTGGTACGAGCTGAGATCACCGTACCACCCACGGGTCTTACCGGAGGAAAACAGATAAATTTTGTAGGCTCGAGCGAACGCACGGACTGATCGTTCGTAGAGGGATGGGGATGATTGCTTGTGTTCGAAGGATGTTGCGCGTCGATTTGCGAAACGCGATATGGCCTCGTGTGTTTGTATTCAATCACCCTTTTCTATCGAATATTCTTCAAGTCATTAACACAATTTGGATGATGATTAGAACAAAAAGTTACAAATCACAGTCGAAGGAATAAAGGAATAAGAGCCAAGGCAGGATGTGAAATGTCTAAATTTTATTTTTTACAATTTGTTCCTTTATCTCTTCGACTGTGATTTCATATCACAGCCTTACGAATTTATTAATTGTTTTAAAAATGAGAAGCTGACAATTCTAAGTTGACATTTAAATTATAGAACGGGAAGGAGATTTGTGAAATAGATATAAATGGACTAATCTAACAAATGACTAAATTGTCAAAGAGTGATTGCTGAGATTCGAATTATCATCGAATCTACTTATGTCATTAAACATGTATAAAATAGAATATTTAGGAAAAAATTATTTCTGTAAAAGTTGAGCAAATTTGCGAGATACTTTGCCGAGAGTGAGAAGTTGCGAGGTGAACTCTTGTTAATGATTACATAATTAATTGACGAATTAATAATTCAATAATTTGGCCGCGATTCGCTCGAGCCGAGCACCGTCAGTTTTATCAGAAAGTGCACCAATTCGACGACAATCTGTCGTTTCGCTCCCTGCAAATAATTCATCGGTAGACTTGCCTCGACGACCGCAATGGTGGACGGATTCGCGATCGGTTTTGCTTACGATGATACTCGGGTGTTGTTTTGCATCGTAAACTTTTCTAGTGATATCGATATTCACTGCGTGCACGAACTTGAGATGCGAGTCAGAGATGGAACGACACTTCTTATTCGTATCGACTTCTTCGTTTAACAAAACAGTAATACGTAAAATGACCGCTGTAAAATTGCTGCGAGATTTCGTTAAATATCGATAATATTTCTGTTGAGTTTCTTCATTCGCGGTTTGCTTAGTGTCGACTTAATTTCGGGGCTCGCGCTGTATGTCGTTGCATTGGTTCTCCATCTCTGCTCCGAGCAAAACGGGACTGGTATGTACACAGAGAGGAGCGAACGTGAACAATACATAAAAGAAACACGTAAGGAACATCGTTGCACTCACTCTACACGCATGGCAAGATGCAGGAGGAGCTATCGCACTAAGTGGAGATAAATAATATTACGAAAAAAAATGCATACAACACGTAGACATTCAAAAGTGTCGTGTCTCCGCAATACAAAAGTGTCCATTTGGTGGTTCTTCAAACTGTCGCGATCTGATCACCCGCTTCGTTATGCTCGTCTATATCCTCATCTCCTCCGTAATGAAATGACAACCCTAGTAGCACAGTGCATTGGCTAAACATTGACCCAGTACAACCAAATATTGGGTCAATGGTTAACGAATGTTTGGTCCATGCGTTGTGCTACTAAGAAAGTGTTGCTACGATTAAGAACAAAGACAGCGAGGCGTGTCAAAATTTGGTTTCTATATGTCTAATTTTTACCTCTTTTTTTTATTGACACGCTAACGCCATACTAACTTCACTTTCGACGTATTAATTTATGTATGTGCGTTGCAAAAAAGGAGCTGCGAATTTTGTTGATCGCTGCCTTTCGCCTTAACGCGGAGCAGCGGTAATGATGAGACAACGAAACCTGATTCTTTAGCGCGAAGATACGTACACACGTATATCCGATTATCCGTCATATTACCTTCGCTTGGACGGGAGCTTGCTCCACGTAGTCGAAGTCTTGATCCTCTGGAGGCGGTGGCCAAGCTACCCGTTTCAGACCTAGGATAATAATAGAGTCTCGTAGAGACAAAGGCTGTTGGCGCGACTAGGTTCTATGAAATTTCTTCGTTCACGAACACGGTATATCTGTATTAACCAATTAGAATCGGACCAGTTCGCTTGAACGACGACGAAAATGTTTCGTTCTTTAAAGATGACATTTAAACGGAGAGGGTAAGAGTATTTTTGGTACCGACGATCTCCGGGAGATCCCTACATATCACCTACACGCCTTAATAATCCAACAGACACGTAACAAACACCGTAGAATGATTTTAATGAGCCTCCGTATGATTTCTTGAAAAGATGTATATAAATTTAAACGCGATTTTATACACGTAGGGAATTTTCTTTTAAAATGTACACTGAAAATCGTGTAATCGTGGGACGACATGGCATTATGAAGAACTTTATGAGTGTTTGAAATTTTACCATACATTTTATTAATAAAACGTATACTGAGTGTAATTATTAAGTAAAATTTATGGTACAGTAGGTCAAGTAACTCATAAAATTCTTCGAAATGCCACGTCTCACGATTACATGATTTTCAGAATAAATTCTAGTTAGAGAAAATTCTCTCCGTGCATATATATATATATCTATAATCGTGTTTAAATTAGATGAATGTAAGTCCGAGAAAACAAATATATCGCCAGGTCTCTTAGGTCCGATTTCACCAACGTCGCGTAACTTTCAGCTCAGCTTAATTCGTCCTTTGTCTCTTTCCAACTGTTACTCTAGAAAGACACAAACATGAATTAAATAAAGATGAAAGTTACGCGACGTTCGGTGAAACCGGGCCTTATTCTACATAAAATTGTAAGACAATTGATTTCGATCGGTAGAAAAAGTGTCATTCATTTATCCGTCATGTTGCTACTAGCGTCATCGATCATCAAGTCCGCGTCTGCTCGTTTGATCGCGATTCGTCGTCGGATCACTGTCATCGATTCCCCACGAGCCATCACTCGATCCAACTTTACGTCGCACAGTGGATCGGTAGCAGTGCCGTCCTTTCTACGACGTTTACCGTTACGCTTTTCCAGAGAAACACCTAATGACGTGCAACTTTAATTTAACCGTGCCACGCTCTCGTCTGCCGCGCATCGCGTGTACCAAGTGTTGCGACACCCGTATGGGATCACGCGTCGTTAATCGCGCACAGTTCGCATATTTCCTGGCAAACTAATAACGCTCGCCTGGACCCGGCGCGTCCACATACCGATGCGATTCCCCGAGCGAGCGAGCCTGCCGGTTCGGCCACGACGTTGCGAAGAACGCGACTCTGCCAAAACGCACACCCGCCAACTACTAACGCTATGGCGGAGTCACCTGTACCTTTCATTATCGCGAAAACTAGCTGGCTACCGATTTTAGAGCCTTTCTGGTGGCCGGCCAAGGAGTGGGGCTTGACATTGTGCCCGATCAGAGAGGGGCAGCCCGCGACCCTGAGGAGGGTCGTGAAAAATTTCCCGGGAGATGTCTACGTATCGCCTATGTGCGCCTTTACGATCCAACAAACAAATAACAATCGTCGCAGGATGATTTTAGAATAATGAGTCTCGGCATTTCTTTAAAGACCATTTCAACTTAAATACTATCTATTATATATATTATTTATATCATTTAATATAAGCGGATTCTCTCATTTGAACAGCAAGGCGTAGCGTCTGTCTTCGACGAATTGATCGAGATCTTAACCACGCGCGTTTGACACTCGAACGCACAATGGTTCTCTGATCTAATTAGGAACAATTTTAGGGGGAAGGGGTGAATTAATGCAGTGCGCGCTCCACAAAGGGAAGCTCTCTCTCGAGCACAACGCTCGGTGTTGAGTGACGACTGAGCAGGGCCCGTGTGCGCCGCGAAAACGCTTTGCTAATCTGGTGAACTCGCGTCTTTGAGCGGCGGCCAGAGAACGACGGTCATGCTAAATTGAAAACGCATTGCCAACGATAAGCGGCATTAATTCAGGGAGCTGATGCCGCCCTAGACCAGGTGATCGACGGCCGTGCCGCAAACGGGTCGCGACGATATTTGCACCTGTGAATCATCGCCGCTCTTGCGCAGCGAGATTGACTTTAGCGCGCAAATTAAGGCCTGTGTCCACGATGCTAGAACTTGGTCCAAGTTCTAGCAACGTGGACACAGCCCTAGTAGCACAATATATTAGCGCAATATTGGGAAATAATGTAAATCTAGTATTCCCAATAATGTAAGATGGACGCCTTCTCTTATTTAGCCAATATATCTATTTAGCAATATTAGTCTAATATTGTATCAATATTAGATCGATATTCTTATTGCATTGTTAAATATTGGCCAATGCACTTCCAATAGAAATCTAATATTATATAATTATTATTGTGCAATATGTACATTTATTCCGTGGCCAATATTGGCTTTACGTTGGGCTATATCGGCAAATGCATTTCTAATATAGCCAACATTGGATTAACATTTAGTCAATGTTTAGCCAATGCACTGTGCTACTAGGGAGGCCTTTATAAACAGACCTGGACTCACGTGCTACGTGTCAGTCAAACTGTAGATGAAGAGAATTTTCTCTTAAAATTTATCCAGAAAATCATGTGATCGTGGAACAACGCGGCATTTTGAAGAACTTTATGAGAGTCTCTTGACATTTTTCCATACACTTTACTAGTACAACGTGTACTAAATATAATTACTAGTAAATGTTTGTGGTAAAATTTCGACTCTCATAAACTTCTTCGAAATTTTAAGGGAAGGTTCTCTCCGCCTAGACGTCAGAAGACCGTTAGAATCTTTCTAATCCGAAGTTGCACCCTCTAGAAATATGTACAATTTTCAAAGGGACATTTCGTAACTTACCTGGTTGACCACCGCGCTGCCTCGCTTCTTCTTCTTCGAGCATACGTAGAACCGCGCTGTTCTGCAAGTTCGCTGGCTTGGCCAACTGGCTGAAGTCGATCCTGAAAAGAGAGCACACCGTTTAAGCCCGGCTTGATTAGATAATATTTCGAATGCTGCGAAAATTACGCGGGTAAAATGAGACAACTGCCTGTTGCTTTTACTCCTCGAGAAAAATGGTGAACGTAGATAAAACGTCACTTTAAATATGTGCTTCTGCAGAATAAATGGACAACAGATAACGTGAATTGTGCATTATAAATCTATACGGAAGGATTTATATGATTGGCAAGACACTTTTTCCCCGATGTCTACAAATAAATACTCAAAGTCGATTTTTTTACAGTATACAGAAAATTGCTTTGTTTCATATGTGCTCTCATTAAGAACGTTCGCTTCAATTTTATCCATACTACTCGTCCCAACATTATCAATGAAAACCGAGATTAGCGTTGAATAGAATGCGAGGTGAAGATAATCAACGACTGACAGGAGTCGTGTAGAATCTCGAGCGGAGGAATTGCCAAGTCGACGGAATGCGCAAACTTGCAGAAACTGCGGGAAGCAAGAAACAGACTGCTCAAAGCTCGCGAAAGAAAAGATTCGCGGAATCCGGTGGTCGGATCGTCACCTCTTCGTCGCAATCATCTTAACGGGCGGAGCTCCCGAAGCGAAGGATACGAAGGACGGTGACGACGGCGAGGAAGGACGGAACGGCGCGGCGTCAACGTGGTCCGTCAAACGCGAAACTAAGTCAAGTACGAAGACGAGGCGCGGCGGTGCGAGCCATCGGCTTCGCGCAGGCCGTTTATTTTCAACCGGCCGGTGTGATTCGACTCGACGAAAATAACTGACGTCGCGAACGGAATCGACGCCGACGGCTGATTCACGCGTCGGCCGGCGTCGTCGCGCGACCGACCGACACCGGCCGATACGTGTACGATCGCACGAAGCGCGAACCGCGAGCTGACACTCGACGATTGACGCAAGGTGGTCGTCCCGACCGCTTCAGATTCGCCGCGCGAACTCCGCTGCTCGTGAGTCATCCACGTCGATCGCGGCGATCCGGAGACCGAATCGGAATCCGATCCGGACTGAAGTAAACAGGACAATGCCCAACGATTTTCCTTGTGAAACTAATAGTTGTTCTAAAATATTTAAAATGATAAATTTGATGGATATTAAAATGCTGAAAACCAACGATTACATTGCATTGGAAAGTTGTTGACACGATTTTCTTTATAAATGTTATTTCGTAAAATGGTTTTAATGCTTTACTTCTTTTTTGCGTCTTCTTTAATTGGCGTATTAACTTACCCGACTGCACCGTTGGCCAGAACTTGAGTCTGCCTATCCAGAGTCTCCTGTATCGCCTGTGGCGAATACAAATTGATAGGAGAGTTGAACTGTTTGTTCACAAATTTCGCCTTCTGGGTAGTCATGTTGCTGTCTTGATCGACCTACTCTCGATTTACTGTAACATCGGAAAACGATTGTCGTAGAAACGAAATATGCAACAATGCTGAGAACGATATTTTAAACAGTTTCCCTCCCTGTGAACTATAATCGCTCCGATATTATTAACTACACAGAGAGAATTTTCTCTCAAAATTGATCCTGAAAATTATGTAATCGTGGGACAGCGTGGCATTTCCAAGAATTTAATGAGAATTTTTTGACACTTTACCACACATTTTGCTAATAAAATGTACTCTCTAAAAGTCAATCAGTGAATTATCACTGAAAACAGTGAATGGTTACTGAAAGTCGCAGTGGTATCGCTTGCATGTTTGCACTATTTTATTACGAATTGATGATATAGCGAAAAATATCCAACGTTCGGGCACGCGTGTTTTCCCTCGTAAGGCAGAAGCGACGAAAATGACTTATATAAGATTATTTTCTTAAACGTGCTGCAAATGGCACGCGGGCCATTAATCTGTCACCGCTGCGCTATTTGCACGCGAATTCTGCCAGAATTCACCGGACCCTACGTCTATATGATTTTACGACGCAAATATATATCTTGCGGATAACGCATGGGAATAAAAATTGAACGCGGCAATAAATAACCCGAGGCAATTTTTCGTTTTCCGTTTTGTATGCGGCAGACAGCTGCCTGGCGTTCTTCTCATGCGCGATTGAGAATGACGTTTGTTTACATTGGCACGTTCTGCGCATCGATAAGAGAAATGCGAAAGTTGTAAGTGGCAACTTACGCACGGTATATTATCAGCATCTAAGAAAAGTAAAAAATCATTACGTCATTAAATCAAAATATAATTTTTTATTATCATATCATCACTTTCTACTTGCGTTAATAAATCGTTTTCACTTCATTATCATGTTCTGCAGTAAATACACAGACTATCGAAGGAACTCAGATGCTAGAATCAATGTAATACATAAAAAACACACGGAGAAACTGGGAGAAGCATTTAGCTGACATTCGGATTTTTGATGCCCTTTCAGAATAGATTTCTGATAACAAAGAGGAAAATATTTTTATATATGTATAGAGAAAAGTCCTCTATTGTGAGATAGGCTTCTAGTATGAAGTAGCAGGTTTCCAATATCCAAATTCAATCACAAATCTTTTTCGCAACGATTACACAATCTAACAGTGAATTGTCCACTGAACAGATTTCGCTCCAAGGGCACTAAATTCATGGTGGAATCAACAGACGATGCCTATTAATTTAACAGAAACCCCGCTATCCCATATTAGGATATATCCTATCTCATAATTTGAGAATATTCCACTCAGGATTAAAATATTCCCTTTTCAATAATAAATATGATCGTTACTATATCGATTCTATTTTACGAAGATCGGGATGTAACATGTGCTATATTAGCATAGCAATATTGGATCCGGAAATCTTTTCAGTGCGAAAGCCGTCGGCGACACTGACACAGATGAAATTATTCAATAAATCGCCCTGAAGAACGACGATCATTAATTCTGTCTATGACGTCGTTAATCTGCATCGCGACGCGATAGCGACGAATTCATGTAACGCGAATTTATTATTATAACGCTGCACTCCTGCCTCGACACAAATGAGTCACGCGTGTATACTCCAATTCGGTCGTAAATCGCGCGAGGCCGAAGAGCGGACGCAATTTCGGTAAGTGGGTCGCGAGCTATCGTTCTCGATGGCACGCTCGACGATCGTTCGATTGTTCGGCCGCTCGATTCCGCGGGACGCGATCGGCGGCGCCGCGTCGGGGGATTCTACGACCCGCTAGAAAGCGTGACATTAAATTCCCGGCCACGCGCCAAGAAATCCGTGCAGGGGCGCATGCCGTTGAGAGACATCGTTCAATTCGGGTGGAGGAGAAAAAGTAATCGACGTTCCTCACGCGTCATCTCGTTCTCACATCCGAATCGGAAGAACTGCAAATTGCTCCCCTACAGATCGTTCGATCGATGGAGATAAATATCGCGCGTTTGCCTCGAGCTTCGCTAATTCTTTTCCCATTGTTACCCGGCGGAGTATCGGCCGACAGTTTCTGGAGGTGAATTTTGTATCTTACACTATAGTGAAAGTGCTAAAAGTGAACAGCTTGGTCTCTTTCAAACTGTCCCCTTAAAAAGAGACAAACTCGCTCGCTTTTAGCATTTTCACTATATTGTAAGATAAAAAGTTGACTGAAACCGAATGTGCACCAATCAAGCAAGTCTAGCTGTCGTCAGCATCTCGTGACGAGACAGTCGCGAGTTCGCTGACACACGCGCGTGCCTCGAGCAGAACAAAGAGTCATTTAAAAGTCACGACATGAAAAAGTAATCATTTCCAGAGAATCAAGATGATGTCACTTAACACTCTTAATGAACACAATTCGACCTTTTCATGACTACACTTTGACTTTTCGCCGAGAGAGCGCAAGTCGCTCGTGCACGCGAAATGATTAAAATCTCGCAGGTATTGTTATATTTCACGAATTTGCTACTGTCAATTCATGCAAACATCTGTGTAATACACAAATTGTGTGGCTTTTGTGTACAGACCGACAGGCTCCCTCTCTTCGGACTAAATCAGAGAACAGCATGGTCATTGAAATTAAGTTAACAAAAAAATCTATTTACTCACTGAAAAAATGTTTCATCGGATAAATCAATTAAATAGTGCTTCCGATTACGTTTTATATTTAATCGGACATTTTTCTCAGAGCTCGAATAAGTTATGAGTGCAAAAGGTGCAGGGTAGCTCCAGCATCCCCTTGATTTGAAGTCACGCGAGATATGTCAAAAATCGGGAAATCCACAGACTGGGGATGACAGGGTTCTGCTAGAAAGCAAATGTTCCCGTAGATTTTTGCGGGAAAGCTCTCGAGCCTCGTCCCGAGAGAACTTACAGAGAGATATCTGGATAGGCGAACGTATGGCGCGTAAAATCTTTCTTCAAGGTTCCTCGTCCGGACTTTTATCGAGGTCGCGAACGCTTTTTTTTAAGCAGGATCATGTACACCCCCTTTCCTCCCTCTTCTATCTACTCGAGACGCCTAGTACTTTGAACGATTCTGTTGCTGAATCGTTGTTTCTTTCCTCGAAGAAGCACGCTTCATTAAACGCACCTCTCCTCGCGGAACCGCAGCGATCTATTTCTGATGCATTTTCCCTGCGATCTCGCACGCGTTTCGCATTTTGTTCATAACTTGGAACGTATTTATATCCCCTGGTCATAAACACGAGAGCCGCCGTTCTCACGTTTCTTCCTTCCCGCCGAATATCTCATATAATTTAAGACGCTGCAAAATCACCCGCGGCAATCAATTTCCGAGGTGGTTACGTGTTGTTGCTATTAATCACCACTTATCTTTCGCTCGTACACGTCTAACATTTCCAAAGAGAATCGGCAATAAACGTTCGCCCATTTAATTATCAATCAAATCTCTTCTCGCTGAGAAGCTTCTGAGAACGACTGTTTACTGTTCTAACACTGTTACTGTTTTTAAAGCTAAATTTAGAAACAATTTAGAACCGATTCTCTATCGTCGTCTCTTTCTCTCCCTCTTCGATTCGATTACGCTCGATTGGTGTACCTGGACAAAACGCAGACCTGCTCAACAGCCGAAAACCTCGGATTCTCGCCGGCGCGTCCCTGCTGGGCGGCCACCGCGGTTATTTTTGCCTACAAAATTCCTCCGAATATATCTACATCGTCCGCAAAATCTCTACTTCTTCCCCCTCCTGCAGCAGCTAGTCCTCGCAAGCCCGCGGGTCGTATTGAATTACATTAAAGCTCGCGCGCCGCGAGAAAAATCGGCCGATATCGATGTCGATCTAACAATAGTACGTATCGACCGGCACTGTTGTTCAATGCCGAGGTTGTCGACGAATTCCTCGTGACGTTTCCTCGCTAAGAGTCACGTGAGTTTTCAGATAAATGCTATTTAAAAATTAGGCGGCGCTATTTAAAAGTGCGTTGGTGCGAACGACAAAGGTGGGTCCCGCCGCCCATAAATTTGACCCAATGACATTCCGCTGTAATCGATTTATGTCCATTTCTATCGCAGATTAATTTTAACTTACTTTTTATTTCTTTCACTATAAGTTTTAAGAATTAGAAAAATATGAGAAGTAACTTAAACCGAGATTAAAATTAGTCTACGTTGATAGAAATAAAAATTGAAGATTCCTCTCTTTCACCAGTTCTAAGAATTAGAAAAAGATGAAAAGTAACTTAGACCGAGAATAAAGTTAGTCTACATTGATGGAAATAACTATTGAGGATCGAATCACTAAATCGAAGAGATTGTCAAGGCACCTGGGATCGCGCTCAAAAGCGAGTTCGGTCGGGGTAAGGGTTTATTTTCGAAAATCTGCGAAAATCTGCACGGGGTGAAAACTGCTTTCCACGTCCCTCGGAATCCACGGGGGCGACCGGCCCCGGTTTCCTTTACATAACTCGCGTCTATTCCAAGCTGCGACGGCGTTCGCTCGATGTCGCGGCCCCGTCGAAACCCTCACGTCGACCTCGCGAGTGTCAGATCTCGCGAGGAAAAAAGTCGCACGACCGATTCCTTAAGATTCTCGATCGTTTCAGATGTACCAGAAGTGTAGAATCACTCCGGCATCCCCTTAAGGGTTTTTCCCGCATCGCGAGATTACTCGTTTACGTGACGCGCGACGTGTCGCCTATTTCTGGCCGATTGTTTCAGCGATACGTCGCGCATAACGACTTTTGGCCGTCCGGAGTGTTGTGACAGATTCACTCCCGCGGTGGTTAAAACGATGCGAATAGACGGGGCGGCGCGTCCCGAGAGAGCGTTGTCGTGTATGTCTCAATCACCACCTCGTTCGCAGATCCGCGTACGTACCCCCGAGCACGACAGACGTCACGTTTTTTGGCTGGATGGACCTGTCGCTAGACAATACATTCCGCTGACTCACGGGCTCGTGGCTAAATTCGAGAACACGGCAATTCTGCGACAGCAAACGATCGCGCCTTACACCTCATTTACAAT